GCATGGGGCGCAGTCGGGCATCTTGGTTGGTGCGTGCCTGTGGGATCTGCGAATGAATTGTGTGTTGTGAACGAATACATCCCCGAGGCTTGTATTGCAGTGGCCATGTGCTGCGTCGATTCGGCGTTCACTTTGCCCCGAAGTGCACGTGGGCACGTTTGCATTTGGTCATGCTTGGGCTGTGTATCTGAGGCAAAGGAAGCTGCAGGTATAGGCTTCGAGGGTGTGAAACCGTATCGTTAGTTCGCAACGGTGGCAAGCTGTTGGGTTTCTATCTCTGCAAGGATTAGCGGCGAAACATAGGGTCCCGCAGCGATACCGGAACAAGACGGAGCAAGACGGAACAAACGGAACAAAACGAAAGGGCACAGAAGGGAAGACGGAAGGAGACGGAACGCAACGGAACACCACGGAACGCAACAGGCAACGAGACGGCACGGAACCCGGAACGAACCAGGACGGAGCGCGGAATGACGGAAAGGAATTGAACGCGGAACGGAACGGAACACAACACGCTACCGAACGAAACGGATCGAAACGGAAAGTGGAGCAGAACCGGAACGCGGAACTAATCGGAGTGTGGAACGGAACGGCATGGGTCTGCGGAACGGAAGCCGGAACGGAACGGAAGCCACGGAACGCGGATCGGAACAGAATGGAACAGACACGGAACACAACGGAAAGTTGAATGGACAGCGGATTTGACGGAAAGCGGGAATTCAAGAGTTCATTCACGACAGTCATAAGGCTTCTTAGAAGGTACTCTAAGAAATGGTGGGAACCCGTGCTCCTGCATAGCTTCGTGAATCGCAAAAGACATCAACACTGCAGCACCTGTCTCTTGCTGCCAAGGACCGTTTTGTGCACTTTGCTGTTGTGTTGCACAGCTGGGTTAATGGATTCTCCGCTCAGTTCTGCGTTTGTGCCGCAGCAGATCAGAGGGCCTTAGGTTTGTAGGTCTCAAGGTTTAGGGATGTTTAGGGTTTGGGGACCCCGTGATCTGATACGTGGTTAGGTGAATAGGGTCCCCGATCCGGTGCGCCTCCCGGCTGGATCCGTTACAACCGACGCTATTAGTGGGTCTACTTAAAGCTGTGGGGAACTTGGCAGGTTTGGATCGCTTGTCCAAGTTCGGGCCCGGTGATGCCCGTGGTGCCAGAATCCATTCTGGGCCGAACAGGCTCGCAGATTTGCGCATGTGTCCTGTTCGAGGTGCTGCACAAAGATCAGTTGATTGGTAGAGTTGCTACGTGCGTGGCTATGGTTGGATGATGGGCCGTCCCCTGATCTCGCTGACGGGCTCATGTTGGGATGAGCTATGTGGATATGTAATGTAGCTGGTTGATGTCAACCAGGAGCGGTTTGCGGCAATTGCAAGATGCAGATCAGGCGGGCAGGGCTGAATTCACTTTTCTCAATTTGGTGCAGCGGCCTTCCTGCTGGTTAGGGGAGACCCTTCACTTCAGCGTGGACGAGATGCCTGCAGGCCACAGCATCAACAAAAGTCGGTAGTGTTGTTGCCACGGTGCTGTGAATTCCCAACGAGGCTGCTTTCAGCATTCTGCTTGGACTTGTCGTTGCTACTTCACAGGCACCTATTGTGCGCCAACTTTCCATCAGTTGGCTCGCCTTTTACATTTGCGTTCTTCTTGCCTGTCGAAGGTGCTTGCGTCCAGATCTCAGTCGAAGAATCTGCTTCAGAAAACTTGATCCGCTAGGCCAGCCTAGCGGGATGTCCGCCAGCTTGCTTGGCTCAAAAGAGGACCCCATGTTGATCCAGATGCGCCTGCGAAGTAACCGTCGCTTGAAGCTGCTGGTTGCCAGGGGTTTGGTATACAAGCATTAGTGGGGTAAATAGAACCAACGTCAAGCTCAGCAGGAAGTTAAGATGATAGATGCGTTGGCCAACATGCAAAGTAAATTTGTCCCGTGAGGCTACGGCTGCTGGCGTGATGAGTGCCAAAATGGCTGTAGTTCCAGAAGGTGCCACTGCAGAAAGCCGACTGGATCATCAGCTCAACCTATTCAGACGCGGTGCTCCACCCGGAAGTGTGCAGGACATTCATCGCCGCGTTGCTGCACAGAACCTCACGGAGCAGTTCGGAGGGAGGTGTAGTCCTAGATACGTGTCTGTAAGGCAAGCATCTTCTTGCGCTGCAGATGCGAAGGGACACTTCTGTTTGGAGCCTGGTACCTCGAAGCTACATCTTGACAAGAGATCCTGCAGATGCCGCTTCAGAGTGGAAGATGTTCCAGCCGCTCGCCCGCACAAGCAGGTTTCAGGTGGTCCCGTGTTCAGGTGCCTAGATTTGCAGCTCGAGGCGGGACTATGAGCTGTCGCAATGCCTCGGGCGCTTGCGAAATTATCTGGACGCGCAGGCGGCAGCATCAACGCCAAAGCGACTTTATGGAATTGAGAAGCCGGCTTTCTTTGCGTACACTTGCATTGCATCACCACCTCGCCGAGAAGGGTTTAAGATTTACTAAAGTTATAAGACAGTTGCATCATATCACATGTTTCAGTCGGCCTCCGGCCAAGCTTAATGCCGTCGCTCAAGCCAGGATGAGCATAACACACATCAAGCGAATCAGTCGTAGCGAACATAACAGAGAAGGCCGAGTCAAGATGATGGACTGGAGAGCACCTTCGACATTTGCAAGAGACACTTGGGAGCCCATATCGCGGACAACCACTTCTGGGAAGGCTTACATCTAAGTCCCATGCGCAAGGCAGAAATGCTCGTGCGGCTTGTTGAGCAGGAGCTGCCCCATTTGCAGCTTGATTTACTCCAAAACAACTGGTGGCTAGCAAAGCCCGTCGATGGTGCGATGGGGAAAGGCATCATTCTTTTTGGTGGACTGTCGTGCGCGGAGGATTTGCAAGTTTCGACCATGCCTTTTTGGGGGCGCATGAGCGATGGATACGTCCTGCAGAAGTACATTGAAAAGCCACATTTGGTGCACATGCCGGGCTTGATTGACATTGACAACAGGCGGGGCCGACATACCGCAGAAGCCTGCGTGGATGAGTGTTACAAGTATAACCTGCGCATGCTTGTTCTGGTGCGTTGGGTCGAAGATCCTTCGGTGTGGGTTTATGACAAGGGCTACATTGATCTTTGTGCGATGCCCTTTGCAGCGGAGTATGGTGCCGGAGTACAGGAAGCCCATGTGTCCAACCTGCCATGTAAGGGAAAAGGAACTGGAGTTCGAAAGCGCATGTGGTCAACGGACACCTTCAGGCAGTATCTACAAGAGTGTGCAGGTCGTGATGTTTGGGCGGAGGAAATAGTGTCCCAAATTCGGACTGCCATTTCGAGGGCACTGAACTGCCTTCTTCCACTGACGACAGGACCTGGATGTAGTAGCCGCGACGATTTCAACTCTACACCACCGGTGCGCCAACCGTGGCGGCGCTTCGGTTTCGATTTTGCATTGGGAACGAATTTCCATGTGTGGCTCGTGGAAGTCAACCACCGCCCTGGAATGAAAGCGCCGAAGGGACCAGCAGGTGAAGACAAGCGCCAACTTTTGGAATCCTTGCTGCTACTTTTGCTAGCGGGTACTGGCTGTTCATATCTGTGTCCAGCTTGTCCGGTTTGAGTCGTAGTTAGGTTGCTTGGAATCGTCATACACTAAATGCGGCATAGCTCAGGAGCATTTCTACGCGGATGAGAGTGAGCTAGAGTGAGCTTTGCGGTTGTGGTTTGCAGGAAACCCGTGATGGCTGTAGTCGCCAGGTGGCAAATTTCCACCGCGTGACCGTCAAGCAAAAGAGACAACGTGACCTGTTGCTGTGCTGCTGTTGTCTCTGGTCAAGGCTTTTTAGAAAGCTTTGGACAACACGTTGATGACATCAGGCAAGAGAGCCCCGTGGTGACTGGGAAGCCAGGGGCTCATTCAGGTGCAGAAGTGCCCTGCGTGGTACCATGCTTTTTTTTGAGGCCTGGTGAGGAGCGGAGCATCAAGGCGCACGCGCGCTTTCTTTAGTGTGCTGTGTGAGAGTACCATGCACTGCCAGGCTCCCACTGCAAACGATGACAATGAGATAGTGAGGCAAAGCACATGCAACGAATCCAGTGGTTCGGTTTTCTTCATGTTCAGGAAATCCCTCGCAGCTTACAACAAGCTTCAGTCGAATCCGGAGTTTTGACCTCAGCGGGTGATTTAAGTGCCAGGTTGCAGCATCAAATCCCTTCCCGACTCCCCAGGTCATTCTGGGATTTGGATGCTGCAGGGCCAGAGGCTGAAGGGTGGGAGCCTCGGCGACTCGATGTTGACGTTTTATAGTTTTTGCACAAGACGCTAATATGAGCTCATATGCCGTTCTTGTGGTCAGGGCATCCTATGGTGTATCGCGAGGAATGATGAAAAACATGCGAGCCGAGGGCTCAACAACCAGGGCCTGTTGTGATGTGGAAGTGCGTGGCGGTGTTGCATCACTGTTGTATCAAGTCAGTTAGTTCTCCGCGACAGCGGCCCAGGCAGCAATGAAAAAGCGGCAAGCGGCCGGCAACCAGTGAGTAGGGCCAGAGACCGCCAAAACCGCCAGCGCAGTCAACGAGGCAAAATCGCTGATTTCAATGGTCCTAGACAAGAAATTAAGAGATTGGACTGGGAATGGCAGAAAATCAAGCTTTTACAGACATTTGCTGAAGGAGATCACAGAACAGGCCGGTGCATGCTGGCTGCAGCAGTGAGCAACTTAGTCCATGGAAGTATGAATCTTTTCTTAGCCATTACTCAAGCTCAGTATCAAGCCGAAGCAAGCTGACCTGTAAAGACCCCAGGAGAAAACCTTGGCAGGATGGTGACTGAGAGATGCCGTGGCCACTCCGTCCTTAGCCCGTCGCCATGGCCGAGATTCGAATTCAATGGAGGAGAGGTTGGAGCCCCCTGCATCCCCTGCGTCAGTGGCCGAAAGTGTCGATAGGAAGCGGCGTGTACACTGCGACTGGCAGCGAGTTAAGCCGTGTTCCATGCTTCCGTGCAATCGGTGGCCTTGGGGCTGTGGTGTTTCTGCACCGACGGCGAAGCTGCAGATTGCATGTGAGGCGTTTGACTCGAAAGCTGTCTGAGACTGCTGAGATGCCAAGGGAAGAGTCCCCAAATCCTGCTGACTTCACAGCAGATATAGAAAGCATTGAATCGCAGATTCGCAGCCTCGATCGTATTCGTGGCCAAGCTGCTGGGACTAGCTTCCCAACAAAATCCAACAAAAGTGGACTTTCCGCCCTGAATGATCTGGAGACACTTGCAGATTCAACCCAGCTGGCAACGGGCAGTTTGCTTCAAAAGGGCAACACCGGGACCAAGGCTTTGGTGGCTAGCATTTTGGAGGAGAGTCATGATGATCCTGAGACTGAGAACTTGGTTTTGTTGAACCTCTTTGAGGATTTGCAATGTGAGCAGCCTCAGGTATTGAAGGTGCCCAAGGACATTGCCCATCAGTTGGATCAGAGGACGAGTGAGGATGAGAAGCCTTTTGCTTTGCCTTTGCCTTGGAACGATGAGAGTGAGAATGCTCAGAGTGCACGTGTCCCCGTGGCAGCCGCCATCTCAGAGATTTCTCGTAGTAGGGCCTCGCTTGGCAAAAGCGAAGCTTTGTTCCACTCGAACATCTCTTCAACTGCGATGCCGACTGCTTCCGCACCGACTTCGATGCCTTTAGCAGAATTGTTGAAGATGTGTGGCTACACATCTGCTCCACTCTTTGGTGAAGGAGGCGTTTCCATTACTGGAGTGGTCGATGTGGCCCAACGTGCATCCAAGGGCGACTTTCTGCTGTTGACCTCCTGTGCAGCTGCTCATGACGGCGCCCTCCTAGAGCAGGCTTTGGAGCAGGGGATATCTGCCATCGGTATACTGGACGAGTCTGACATGTCCCGAGAAGAAGCTGGTAAACTTTTTTCGCGCTTCTCTGACAGAGGTTTACAGGCAGTAGTTCTTCTGTCTTCTGGACTGCCGTCTCCCGCCCATTGCTTGGCCGAAGCCTTTTACGCAAGTAGCCGCGCACAGGCTCCGATGAAACTAATTGGGGTGATCGGTGGCCAAGAGTACGACGTGAGGACCACTGCATGGCTTCTCTTCAAGCTGCTGGAGTCAGCCAAGGGCCCGGCAAAAACTGGATTGTTGAGCGACCGCCGCTGCATGATCGCGTTTCAGAGCAAAGATGTTGGACAGTCACTCACTTGTTGTGCAATACAGGAGCTCTTAGCAGAGATGTCGGGCGCAGGTGTCGGAGCTTGCGTCGTTGAAATTCTGCCGGGTGCCTCTGCTTTCCAAGAAGTTGACTTCGATGTGCTGGTGGACTTGGGACAGACACGAGATGCTCCAGCCGCAGAAGAGCTTCGACAGAGATGTCTCCAAACTTCAAAGGCAGTAGTGGGTCCGCACGAATGTGCAGACAGGGTGCGGGCTGGAAGTTCTTTGGCAACCTACAGGGTAGAAGTCTCGTCTTTTGAAGATGACAAGTCGGATTGGACGAAGCTGACCAAGGCCAAAATCGTTGAGAAACTTGTGGATCTTGGAATCAACGACATCCGACCAGATGCCAAGAAGCCTGAGCTTGTCCAAATGCTGGAGGAGCTTCTCCCCTCAGGCGATGCTGTCGAAACCACCTCCTCAGCACCTCTTTCGCCGCCGGCTTCTTTAAACTGCCTTTGTGGTCGAGCCATACCCACCCCCTCCATGAGACAATGTCACTTAACACTCAGTGGGTGGGGCCTAGAACATGGCCTGAATTTGCCACTGCTAAAAGACACCAGCCCCGCTGCTGTGGCTGCCCTTTGTGCTGCCGGTGCCATCTTACGGTGTGATGACCCGCTGACAGATATTCAAGGCTTGGCCTCAAGACTTGAGGCAATCAACCCGCCTCCAGGAACCTTCGAGATCTTTTCTTCCGAAGACATGCATGATAGTGCAGTCCTTCTGCATGAAGCTGCCTCGCCTCTCCACGTTGAACAAGCGTTGCAGGTCACAAGGTCTTCCATGGCTCATGCCCCCAACATGCAGACTCAGCTGACTGCTGTGTTCGGCTGTGACGGCGAAGTGTCTCGGGGTGACAGGGCCAAGTTTGGCTGGGCCCTTGCAGCGTGCGACAAACTGATTCTAACTTCCGCCAGTCCTCGAGGGGAGCCGCCCATGCAGATTCTTGAAGATATCTTGGAAGCGGTGAAGCAACAGAGGAGTCGCGCAGAGCTGGATTGGAAGGCTCCGCTGGAAGTTCATGTTGTGGCAGACCGTGCTGATGCCATAAAGCTCGCCGCATTGCTGAACCGGGATCAGCAGAAACTGCAGCTGGCACAGGCGAGCCTTGTGTTCGGAAGAAGCTACGACGATGGTTGTGAGGCGGCGGACCAGGAGGGAGCGATCCGAACATGGCTTTGCAATGACCGCAAGATCATAGCAGATTCGCTGCATCTAGCAGAAGGCTTGAACTCCTCATCATTAGAAGACGAACAGATGCCTTGGGGAATACGTCGCGACGGTCAATTCTATCCAGGAAGGTCTTTGCATTGGTCCTATGCGGTGGGGGTGTCCGTCGAAGACCAGGTAGTGGAACGGCTTTAGCTCGTGAAGTGCCGCTGCAGGAAAAGAAGCTACTAGTGGCTTGAGTTCCGCTGGTTGGCCAAGAAGCCTCAGTCTAGGCTCTTCTTGTGTCAGCTCACGCGCCCCCGGGCAGGAATCCATAGGTGTGGTTTCAATGTATTTTTGAAGATTAACCTGGATAATTCGATACTCCTTGTGTTGACCCACTGAGCTTGCCAAGCACGATGGGGAAGCCATGCAGCTGCACGGAAAGTTTACAAGCTTGATCTATTGAATTTCGAGCAGTACCGTTTCTGTGCTGTATTTCGTCTGTGCACAGAGCGCCAGTGCTTGCGGCGTGGTGTAACCTTCAAAGCGGCCCTCGCAGACTGCTCTCCGTTTGAACTGGGGCCCTAAGCCCTAAACCTGAAACCCTAAACTCAAAGCCCTAAAGCAACAAACCCTTTAACCGCCCTGCCAGAGTAAGAGTCGCCGGAGCCTGGGCCTAGACCTGAAGGATTTAGGGTTTTAGGGTGTGGGGTTTAGGGTTTAGGGTTCAGGGGGTTTAGGGTTTAGGGTTTTAGGGTTCTTCGATGTCGGGAATGGTGATCTGCTGCGCAAGGCCAGCAAAGCCCGAGCTTCTTGACACTTGTTTTGAGTATAAGAATTCCTACGACCATGACCATGATAATCACGACAACGACGATGGCTTTGTTGATCATGACGGGTGTGCGGCAGTGGTGGTGGTGGTGGTGGGCTCACTTTTACTGAACGAGATTTGTGTTCTCGTCAGCTTGAAATTGATGCTGAGTACCCCTGTCAGTTGCGGGGAGCACATTCAGAGCTCTGGTTGCTTGCATCTGCGCTGGGATTGCCAATGGAAGCCATGCTTCTGGCAAGATTGACCAAGAGGCTTCATTCTTGGCAAGTAGGTGGCTCAAGGTTTGGCCAACAATACCGAAAAAGTTGTAGTTGCATCTGCAAAGATTGCCTTGATTTGGACGCAGAGGCTGACCTTGAGCTCGGTAGTGTTAGTAGTGCTTGTGCAGCCATGTCGAGCACCAAGCGCTTCGTCGAGCAGCGCATCGTCAAAAGGCCGTGCCGGCATTGATTGAGACAGTGTCGGCAATTTGCTTTCTGAGCTCCAGCTTGTCTAAACTTTACTTCTTTGGCACGGTGAAGACCAGGCGTGAGCAAGAGGCAAAGGATCAAGAGCTCCGCCGACGCTTGATGGAGAACAACATCTATGCAGGTATCGGGGTCTGCGGTTTGCCAGTAACATGATGTAGTCGCTTTGTCGGGCAGGCTATGGCAAAAGCGAGCTCAACGTCGAAAAGAAGCGCAGAGCACTGTCAGAGGCCAATGAACGCCGTGAGCTTTACATGGATTATAGAGCCTTGGCCAGACTTGAGATGTGCAAAGCTCATCAAAACTCCGTGTCCAAGGCCTTCTTCAAACCTCCTGCATCCGAGGTTTTGTGAAGACGGAGCAGGACAAGACGAAAAGAGTCCAGATAGCGCAATTCGAAGAGCAGCTGCTTGACCACACTTAGGACTAATTTAACCTATTTGCCCCAGGCGTCGGTGCAGAGTTTGGTGGAGCCCTGAGGTTGGCAGACGAACTGGCCAAGAGGAAAGCTGAGCAAATGCGCCACGAGACGCCAAGCCGCACCACAGGTTTTTCTGTTTGATGCGGAGCGTTTGATCCAAATGTGGCACTCATTTTTCCAAGTATGGATCGTCGACGAATCTGCGACGGCTCCGAAGAGCTGCGGGTGCTGAAGGAAAGGCTCCATATGGCCAAGGTCAACAAGGCAGAGCTGTGCGGTTTTTGGAAGGAAGCGGTTTTGCGATTCCCACGGTTTTCAGGAGCGTGCTCAGCAGCTCCTCGAAATCGAGGCCACGCAAAGTGCAGATTCGTTCGGGGTTCGATGGTTGTGGGCTCTACGTTTCAGGTGCGGAAAGAAAAGGACCGCATAACGGGCCACTTGCTGGCCGAACATATGGAAAACGAGAGGTTGGAGCAGCAGGACTCGTCACTCAGCGTCACGCAGATGCACGAGGCTACCAGTAGAGTCTGCACTGGGAGCTCGTGAAGTCGGCGCTTGTGCGACCAGGAGCTGGAGCACAAGTTGGACATCGAGAAGAAGAGGCAGCGAGAGCGCGTCAAGGTGATCAACCAGCAGCAGATTGCGATGAAAGAGGCCGCGAGCATCCTGATTCGTGTTCTGATATTGGTTTCATTGTATGTGAGTTTGTTGAGGCACAGAGAGAAGAGGCCATGCAAGAATACATCAAGGAGATGAAGTGCCATGTGGAACCGGAATAGATTCCGATGTTTTTACGAAGCAAGCACGAGATAACCTTTTTTCTCCTGAAGGAGCGCAATCAGGTAGAAGAGCTGGTGGCTAAAATTGCAGACGAAGATGCGAACGAGGCGAAAGCTCGAGCGGAGAAACAAATGGAGCAGCTTGATCTGCACAGAGTTGGATGATCCGGTTTCGACCATGTGTTAGTTACAAGAAACAGTACATGACATGACGGTTTTTGGATGCGTCTGGACGTTGCCAGGTCACGGGTCATGCTGCAGCAATTCATGGTGGAGCAGCGCCCTAGACCGCAAACTGCGCACAAAATGAAATGCTTGATTTCTGCATCGTGCACTCGACAGACTAGACAGATCCTGCTTGGCGAGGAAGGCAAACCAGGAGAAGTTGGAGGCAGAGGAGAAGGCAGAAAATGAGCGCATTGAGCAGTTTGCGCGGGACAAGCGCGAACGGGAGGCCGTTTTGCCAGCTGTTTGTATGGATCGTTGGCACAAAGACTGCGTGGTAAGCCTAAAATGCGCTTGACTGTGCTGCAGGAACGGCTGGAGCAAGAGCGGCAGGAAAAAGAGAAGGACCCTTCTCAGCGCGTGGCCGGAAGTGACGCATGATCGGTTTGTGTGCGTCACTTGGTTTGCTGGGAACTTTGCCGCTTGTCAACATTGCCAACTTGATTGCCAACTGAAGAAAGCAGGAGAAGCTCCGCATTCTAAATGCGATGCTCGGCCAGATGGAGGCACAGTGGTGAAGCCGTAGGTGCTGGAGAACTTGTGTGCAGTGTGGGTGTCATCCTTTCGTTCAGGCCAAGAACAAAGAAGCAGAGGAGCCGGCACTGTCGGATTGGAGGTTGCAGCTAGGCTGGTTCCTGACTAGGGTCCACCGTGTGCCGTGCTTCTTCCAGGAGCTGGAGCTGTTGCGGAACGACTTGCATTTGGAAGAACTTGAAGCCGAGTCGCGCAGACGTGAAGAGATGCAGCCATTCGGCCGAAGCTGTGCTCGCTGTCGGCATGGAGCCATCTCAGACTCGATGAACTTTGCATCAGACCTGCCTTTAAGCATCAGCATATGCTGCCGGGGTGCTTCGGGTGCTGGCTTTCGCTTTCAGGATGCGGAAGAAGTTGGAAGACAAAGAGGTAACGTTGCTGTTACGCAATGTCGCGTCTCGCATCTGTGGTGACACGACTTTTTTTGTTCTCTACAGCTTTCCGTGCACGCAGGAGATGAAGAATGCCTATCTCGTCCAGATGCGGGCAAAAGAGGAGAAGATGCTGCATGCCCGCGAGGAGGAGGCATTCGCCACATTCGCCCCTCGCACTGTTCTTCCTGCAGCTGCTCCCAGGGCAGGATGCGCGAAGAGCTGCTCAAGAAATTTGCTGAAGACGATCGCTTGGAGCAGCTCAATGAGCAAAAGCGCCGCATGAAGGCAGCAAGCACTTCCGATGCGCAAACTGTGGTAGGAGTACGGTTGAATTTAGCTTGTCGCAGTTCCTGGCTAAGGCGGTTGATGTTTTCGCAGAAGACTTTGATAAGATGGTAGTGCTTGCCGTGCTCTTGCCAGGTCGAGCAACACAGGCGGGAGGCAGAGCGCCTGGTGGAACTTCGCCGCGAAATGTGCGCCATCCGCGTTTAGCTGAAGTCCTGACAGGCGCAAAGTCCAGAGGTCACGGTGAGTAATCGGTAGCTCTGTCAGGTATGAACTTGCCCGAGCTCAAGAGCGCGAAGAGCAAGATGCGCTTCGCAAGGATGAGGACAAGCGCCGCCTGATCATCGAGGATGAGCGCAGGAGGTGCTCATGTAGAGCTTGAATGACAATTGCACTCTGAATGTAGTGTTCACTTCCGAGGCTGCTTCGTGAGCACGGACAAGAGCTCAAGAAGTTCCTGCACAAGCCTCAGACAGTACGTTTCGACCCTGTGCCTATACCGGTCGGAAATAGCAGCTGTACATGTGCTCCCCCTTGTGTCACCTCAGGCCAAAGCACACTCTGGAAAGCATGGAGGACCGTTGTATGTTTTGCAGTGTCGGCTTCACAGTGTTTAGGCTGGCTCTTTCCACGAACTTGGGCGGGGCTGGCAGGACTACAAGCTACTTTTCGGTGAAGAAGTGTCGCCATGACTTGAGACATGCCATTTGTCTTGCAAGAAGACTCTTGTGACCTTGCTGCTGAGTTGTTGACGTTGAGCATGATGAAATGCACGCCAGGATCTTGCCGGAGCACTTCAGTTTCAATCACAATTGGCAGAACAAAGCGTTGCCAACCATGAGGAGGGATGCTTCCAGAATGGTGATGGGTTGTGCTTCTGATGCATGAGCAGGTGTTCAACTACATGCAAGCCTATGCACTGCCTGCTGTGCATCTAGTGAGAATTCGGCCCGTCCTCTTGCTAGGCTGAAAACCAGCTTAGCAGAGTTTACCCGACCTTAGGGTATCTTGTTTGCATGAGCTCATGAGCTGCGTGAGCTGCACAAAGGCAGCTTATGACAGCTTATGCAAATGATGTCCAATGCCTTGTGCCACAGGCACAGTGCCTTTCTGCGTCAATACGACTTCGTGTACAGAATCGTTTCATATGCACTGTGCGCACTGATTCGAGGTTTGAGCGAGAAACTGGCACTCGTGGATATTTGGTTCATCGTTTTCTGGCTGCCCTTTTTGTAACGAAATTATTTCTGTCTTCGAGGAACAAGCGGCGCGGTTTGGGATGTGGCAACGCGAACGAAAGTTTCTATCCCATCATGCTCTGATTTCGTTTTAGACTCAAGAGGTGTGCTTGAGGCAATATGTCAGATCTTGAGGCAACATGTCAGATCTAAAAAATATTTTTCGATCTTGGGGTCTACTATATATTTTAGAGCTTTGATTTAATATCAATTATATCTTACTAATTGGGATAGAAATATTTATATTTAGATTTTAATATCTTGATTCTTAATTATATTCTTATTAATTTGCTGAATGGTTTTATTATATATCTTTTTTTATTGGTATTTTAAATATTCTTGACTTAATAAGATTATTGGATTTTTCATCCGAAATCTGTTTCCCAAGATGAGTATATTGAATATATCATTAATATATCTTAATTAGAATTTAATATGATTTGGAATCGATTACTCTTCTTCGATATAAAGGACTGAATCTTATTATCTCTTTTGAATTTTTCAGGACTTGCCCCCTAACTTGTCCAATATGATGAATTATTGGAACCTAATCGTGATATTTATATTTGAGATGCATTAGTTAAATTAAGAACGTATCATACTTAATTATTATTTGATAATCTTCTATTATATCTATTTATATCTGAAAAACGATTAACGTTATTTCTCGAAGCATTCCTCTATTGGAGCCCTTTGAGCTCTTAGATATTAATTTTCTGAGTCAAATATTTCACTAATTACTAAGATCTTGTAATTTGAGGTCCAGCATCTTTAATCATTATAATAATGAAGATTTGGCCACTCGTACTTTTATTACTATTTATGTCTTGACAAGACTGTGGTTTCGAAGGCAAAAGATAGTCTCTTATAAGATTGGGGGGTGGGTACCGCCTACCCATTCCACAAATTGAATCGTGGTGATCTGAATGGTTGGGGTTATCTCTTAGCATCTCGTACCAGAGCTCATATATCTTTTGGGAAATATATATCGTTTCTGAGAATATAATTTTTCAATCATCCAGCAAAAATCACGAGACAAATGAATATTTCCTCTAAGAATATAATCATTATGATGAGGTGGTAGAAATCTTCAATATTAAAAATGATAAGTCGTAATATATTCATATATATATATATATCATTTCGATGGCTAGATTATTCCTATAAGGTACATATATCACTATCGTTCAAATTCTTGAAATATATTATAGATCTAATATCATAATTAATATGCAGTGGACATAACCCAACAAGGGCATCACGAATATAGCTTTCAAAGATTTGATTCTAATCATATATGTCTGATATTCATAGGTGAAATATAATTAGATATATATATATATTCTATATATATAGATATATATATGGATATATATTCGCACAGAATCAGGAAGTTTAGATATATGAATTCATATATATATATAAATATATGCGCTATCATACGACCTGATAGTTTGAATGATCATATAGGCATATATATCTAGAAATATACTCAGGAATATATGGGTAAGACCTACATCCAGAAGATGATATCTTATTATAGCAGTTATAATCTTATATTATAATCTTGATATATCTCATAGCGGCGGATGATAGAGATGATGAGTTGTATGAAAGTGCTCCTCGATCGTGAATCTAAATAAAATAATCTTGTTTCTTGGCCTGAGGACCGAAGCCTTTTCATATCTATTTTAATATTGATATTCGCTGGTTTGGTCCGTAGGCCTGCCTCTAGGCT